ATTTTAATTGGTCTTATTTACTTCCAATACCTTTTTGTTGTCCTATATAATGATTCCCAAGAAGCTTTGTGATAAGATTAATTCCCTTCGTCTAAATTTCTTTTGGGCATCTCCTAGAGATAAAAATTGGATTCATCTCAAGGGACATAATTTCCTATTTACCTATTCAAGAGGATGGTCTAGGTCTTCACCCCATTAAATGTGTTAATCATGCTTTATTAAACAAATCTAGAGTATTGTGTACCCTCCTGCTAATTCCCTTTATTTTCTACTTTACGAGTTAAATAGTTGGATATTTCCTCTTTATCTCTAATTAAGAAGCCTTATAATTCATTCTAACTTTAAAAGAAAATATTTGAATGTGCTAACATTATAGTGGATAAAACTTAAATGGTAAGTTGATAATGACACTAATATTCCATTTAACCATTGTAAATGATAGCCTTCTTGTCTAGATGCATCTACATCAACTAATATTGTTGATATGGTTTCCGATCTTATAGTGCAACCACAAACATTGTATTTTCCATTGTTGGAATAAAGAGTTCATCCAAGTTATTTATAGGGCTTTCATAGCTTGAGAAATTTTCAACTCCCCTATTTTCATCAAGAATCACTAAAACCACCTTATCTGGATAGGCAATTCTCCTCTCCTATTTTCATCAAGAATCACTAAGACCACTTTATCTAGATAGGCAATTCTCAAGGCTCTTATTCAAAGATGACTTTTCTTTACTTCTTTGAAGTTACATTCCTCGCATTTCTTTGATTTTGTAGTCTCATGTTATGGAAAATCATTTGGAAACTTAACTTGCCTTACAAATTTCTACTTTTGGAAATTTTGTCATGAGCCAATTGTAGCTACTACATACTCAAATACCATCATCTTTGATGTCTCTACACTTTGTCCTTTTGTTTGTCTTGTAGAAGAATTTTTGAGCATATTTACTATTCACATAGTTATACTAAAGCGGTTTGATTTGGTTACCTTTATCAATCAAATTGACTGAGATCTTAATGTCTGAGGTTCATAGCTAGCTGTTGAATACCCTTTACTCTCTTCCCAAGGAAACTAAATTCAATTTGATCCTAAGAATTATTGTCATTATCAGCTTCATTTGAAGATGGCATAATTTTGTTATGTATCAGGTTATTGTTCTCAATTCATCTCTTGTTAATCATTTTCATGGTTATATAAATGTTCTAGAGAATATTCATTAATGGCCATACTAGTCTTCTGTATATGGCTCTTCCAATCAACCTTCTGCTTCACTTAGTGATCTGCATCAGTTAGATTGGAATCTATTATTGAGGAAGCTAAAGTAAAAAAGAGTTTAATGCTTTCAAGTTCTCTTCCAACAAGGTGCTTATACAATCCATGGGAATCACTTTGAAGAAGCCTCACTTCTTATCTCATGAGCTCTTTTACTAGCTTGGCTGGCATGTCTTAGCTATGTTTTTTCATTGTTTTAATCTTATTCCTTTTCCTATTATCATCAACGTTGTTCACTAGCTGAATTGTGTTTTGGGTTCAAGTTTCTCCATCCATCATGACCATTAAGTGCATCACAAAATAGCCTTGTTTCTTATATTTGTTCCTATCTTAAGCCTTTTTCAGTGTTTGTTTTCTTCTTTTCAATGACATTTTGTTATTTTTAAGGGGGTTCTCTCCATGGAACTCTCCCATAGACCTTGTAGTTTGAATATTTTATCATTTTCCTTATAATTTAATTGTTTCATATTAAAAAAAAAAACATTTACTTCTAAAATAATACTCTTAGAGCAAGAAAACAATATTGGCATAGTTTTTTTTTTTTAATACATACAAGTTTAGGTGAGTTAGATCCCAGGACTCAAGAAGGCCAGAGCATGCTTCCAGGCTTAGAGAACACCTATAAAGGTATTTACAGAATGCCTACCAACAAAGTTCTCATATTGATAACAAGATTCGAACTCACGACCTCATGAGTTATGAGCCGTATTCTTACCAACTAGATAATTTGAATATTTGAGGCAATAGTGATTAAATGGACCGAAAATGCCCAACCGAGAAGAGATTTTGACCATAAAGGTTAAATGGGCTTGCACTCAAGCCCATCTGATTTTGGGATTGGAAAAAATAATCTTTTTATTAAGTAACAAGACGTGCAATATATATATATATATGTATGTGTATATATGTCATATGCTTGTTACTGTCATCTAATAAATGTAATATAATTATTTGAAAATTATATGTATTTTAAGTGGTTTCTGGTGTTGTGATTTGAGTCTCTAATTGGGCCTGTTCTTCATGCTGGGCCTAAAATGTAGATGAAGAATACATGTTTTTTTTGGGGACAGATAATGGATAAATGTTGTTTCTGGAAGGAAGTATTGAACTTAGATTGGACCCATTCATAATGTAACATTATTGTTGTTTTGGTTTAGGCCCATCATGAGTAACAGGCCCAATTAGAGCAAAAGTCTGGATCCGTTCATATTGTTAGGCTATCAAACTTCGAAACCCAATTTCTGTTTGCTAAACTTAATTTTTCTAAAAGCAATTTATATTTTCACGTGCAAAATCTAATTTTGGGTGAATATTTTTCATTTTACAAAGGTGAGTTGTTTCAACGAAAAACTGAATTTCACATTAATAAGACTCTTTTGATTCTTAATTTAAAACTTATTTAACTAATTTGATTAAATTAAAAAGTTAAGTAAGTTAATTAATTATAATAAATATAACATGTATTTTATAAAATATCCTAATCATATTTCTTAATGCTCTACATCTCTTTCCTACTTAATTATTGTTAAGAGAATATTATTAAAGGTAATTTAGAAAAAAATTAATAAATATAAAAATAAATTTTATATTTTAAATCAATATCTACTTTACAATGAGATCCTATGTACATTAAAAACAAGAGGAGTATTAACTATGAAACACGAAAGATCAAAAGAATATATCAAAGCCTTTAGACACTCACCATCTCCCCATTTTAAAATGGTGGATATTCTTGTTTCTTTTTTTGAAGAAACAAGTCAAACACCCGCTTCCTCATAAGGAGGAAACACACACCACAATCATATAATGGATGCACCACCAAAGGTTTTAAAAAAAAAAAAAGGACTAGTTACACTCGCAGTAAAAAGAGAAGAATATTAAAGATTATTAAAGAATTTCAACTTCAACCTTAACGTTACAGTTTAATGACGGTTTATAATTTGATGAGGAAGTAGTTATTGTATAAATAGAAGCATTGATTTAATGTTTAATACTTACAAATTAATATTGTCTTGTCTAGCACTTAGGGAGGAAATGCTTTTTGCTGATATAACTACAAAGAAAGCTCATAATGCAGAGAATAACTTTTGTTTATATACTTCAATTGATCTAAACTCTATGGATCACTATGAAATTCCTAGAGCTAATATGTGATTGACGTCACCTCAATCTCTGTTACTTACCGTTAACGGAAATGAAAAAAGTGAGAGAATATTTTTCTGATTCTAAATATTAATTAGTTAGCTAATTAATTTTTAAAAATAGAGAAATTTAAGTAAGTTGATTATTTGTAAAAACAGTGAGTTAGTATTCGCAAAATATCCTATTTAATCATTTATATTAGAAATTATCTCGTTAATAGAAACGCCCTTTATTGTGAGAAATCAATGAGAATAATTTGAAAAAAAAATAGTTACAAATTTATAAGATTAAATAGATTTTTTCGCCCCAAAAACAAGTCCATTTCATTAACCACACAAAAAAATTAAGATGTCACAAACACTAACAGCCGAAGCTAAGAGGAAGTAGCAATATACATACATAACAATTGATCCAAATCCAGAAAAACAATATTCATCCACAAAACAAACATCCAATCTATATGCGACAACTCATACAAGTTGACATGTTCATGTATTGAATCTTAAACATAGTAACAACGCATTGATCTCCAATAATATCCAATAAAATCAAAGGTGGGGCTCCAAAATATCCATATACATCATCACCTGTTATATATTTGACAAAAGTTAATGCAAATGATTATGTATAAAATTAATGATATAGTATTAGAATCATACCAAGCTAATTAAAATTTTGACCTCCCAAACGCAAGAGAAGCAAAGTGATGAAAAGCATGCTCATCCCAATCCCAAATATAATAATATAACTACCATGACGAAATCAATCTGCAGCGATACAAAGGTAATTAATTAATTACAAGTTATAAAATATGTACGAGTAAAAGGACAAATATGAATGATACTAGAATTGGAATACCTTTACCTTTAAGAGAACGCAGTATTCACTAATATATTCGAAATTTTGACTGGAAAGTTGCTATAATGGCGGGGTCATCCCACTCCAAGTTGTCCCACCAAACTTGAAGTCCCTCGATGAGCCTCAAGTTAGCCTCGGAATCAAACGGTAACTTCTTCACTTGTTTACAATTGTACACTTGGATGGATCTTAGGGAAGGAAAAGGCAAGACTCTCTCATGAATGCTCCTAAGATTTGGCAATTCATTCAACGTCAACTTTACAAGAGAAGGGAATACAGAGTCCAAATGCTGTCTTTCTTTCCCATCTTCTAATCTTTCTGCCTTATCACTCGTTCTATTGAGGAGCAATCTCGAACTGCGAGCGTTTGAAGGAGTGGAGCATACTTCACCCATGTCAAGTGAAGTATTGTATTGCAGTAAGAAATGTTCACAGCACGAAGCATGGATAGACAACATGCGTCCAAAACAGAAGGATCTACCATATTATGCAAATGAGAGAAGCAAAGACGCTGCAAGTGCTTCATTTTTGACACGGATGCCAATAATACTGACCCGTTAAATTGGGCATGAACATGGGAAACCTCAAGGACATATATGCAGCTTTGCAACTTGGCCGATTCAAATAATTTGTTGACGCCACTGTCTGTTCTTATTTTCATCTGCAATTCCTCTAAGTTGGATGAGCGCTCCACCTCTAGAAATTCTTTCTCTTCCCTATCACTACCATCATTTAGCGGAGTTGCAGATGCTAATTAATCGACACACTTTTACTTGTTGAAGATTTGGTATTAGGCCCAAAGGAGTAACACGAATATGATCTGCAGACAAATTAAAAACCTTCAAGTTTTTCAAATTCTCCAACTCTCTCCAAATGTCTGGTGCATTAGTTAATTTGAAATTAACCAATGACAGATATTCCAAATGATTTAATCCACCAATTTCTGTGGGGATGGGTACCCTTTTCGTTGCAAACAGTTCCAAGACTTTTAATTGCCTTGCGTATTGGATATTTCCTAATCCATATATTGTATCAGGAGTATCAAACTTCAATAGTAATGTTGTTAGATTTGTCCAAGCTATGCTTTGTATCCATGGTTCAACACCTTTCATGATTGAAATCGTTTCAACCATTCCATAATCTTTAACATTGGCTTGAGACATTGCCCATCCATCTTCTTGTACTGCAACCTTCAATTTGTTTCTGCCTTCATCACATGCTATCCATAGTGCCATGTCACAGATGACATCATGCATCTTAACTGAACGCTCCAAAAAGATATTATCTTTAACTTTCTCTGACAAGCATGAAGGCTTCAACGTTTCAATTATAGATCCACCATGGCTACACATATCATGTCCACTTCTCATCCTCTCATTATAAAGAAATCCCTCCCCTATCCACTTATCAATGAGACGAGAAACTTGAATTTCATAATCTTCTGGGTATAATGCACAATATAAGGAACATTTTTGGAGTGTTTTATCTGGTAGTTGATCATAGCTAAACTTGAGGATAGAGAACACCTCTGTCTCCCTGTCCGAAGCTGTCCATCATTACAAAAAAACAACGAATTAGCGACGGAAACAAAACCATGTTTTTTTGTAGTGCATGAAGAACTTGTTAAGTTATTCTTTGAGTATTCCCATGCTTCCACACTCTTCACACGAGCCATGGCACTTCCTACCATAGTTAACGCAAGTGGTAGTCCTTTACATTCTTTAGCAATCTCCTCTGGTATCTTTGGAATGATAGGGTTAGATTTCAGAGTTTCCTCGCCAACTTCCACGCTTCCACACTCTTTGGAATGATAGGGTTAGATTCCGTTAGAATTTCAACTTTAAATTTTCTTTGGGCTTTCATTTTTGCGCATACATCCTCAGATTGTGTTGTGAATAACACTTTGGATTGAAAATTAGTTTCCTTTGGATGTGGCACTCCCACCTTTTCCAAATCTAATTCCTTCCATATATCATCCAATAATGGAACAAATTTCTTCTCTTAGGACTTCATAAATCTTTGCAGTTTGTTCATATTGGTTACTGCAACAATTCCAAAGGTCATTTCCAATTCTTGCCCATTTTCTGATGCCATCCATAATACTATCCAAGTTGGGACTTTTGGATACCACTACCCACTTGATGTAAAAGTCTGATCTTTTCCCAAGTTGTTATGAATTTTTCTTATCAAGGTAGTCTTTCCCACCTCACCCCACCCCTCCCATATAACCCAATGATACCAACATTGTTTTCTTCAATACTTTTCATACCTTATCAAACATTATATCTAAGCCTACTGTCTCGCTAGATCATTGGGCTTACAAAGACGCTTGAGGGAAATTTTAAAATCCTCACAAAACTTTTGCCCTTCAGTTTCTAGTTCATCTACATTCCTTAGAATGTTGACAACATCCTTACCTAACTTGTGGCTTGAGGTGCAATTCTGTGGACAACATTTACCAAGGCATTTATTTTGAGTTTGTTTACTTCTACAAACTTGAATATATTTTATTTCCTGTGAATATAGTATTATTAATTAGCTTCACAATGTCATCATTCTATACTTTCCAGTCAAATTTGAGTGAATGTATGGGTGGTAATTAGATCTTGAACGAGAGAGCACGCGCACATATATATTATGTATGTGTATGTATTAGTGGGTGACCTGATGTGTGTAATTGACATACTAGTAGACAAGAATAAGCATGCTTCAGCTGTTAATACTCCCTATGATTCAAAATATAAGTCAAATAACTAAATCACGTAATTCAAAAAGTTGGTTAAAATTAGTTAAAGATAATAAATATGTACAAATAAAACTTATTTTTCTAAAACACCTTTATTTATGGGGAGGGTAAGTGGGAGAGAGAATAAGTGGGAAAAAAAAAAAAAGAGGTGAGAGAGGTATAATTAATTTGGAGTAAAAATGAAAAAATAATACAGCGAATGATCAAACAAATCTAAAGTGAAGCTTGTAAAGGGGAAAAAAAAACTCTTCAAAAATTTGATACTTATATGTTGAATTGGAGGGATTACCAAATAAAGACCATGGGTAAAACTTAAAACAATATAAATTAGAGGTTGAATTAAGGGAAACTTAGAATAAAGGACCTAAAGGGAATAATATTTATTGTGAAGGATCTTAAAATTTATAATTAGTAGAGGTGTTCAACTGTGTCCTGTCTTAGCTTCTCGTCCATGTCCCAATCCTTTTGGGATGGGACAATCCTATCCGAAAGCTTTTGGGATCAGATGAAAGTATGATGGGATGAAATTGTTTCGGGACAGGACCGGACCGAACAGGTCGTGGGATAGGGTGTCCCGTCCCAATCCCCTTTCAATATATTATTTTTATTTTTAGTTGTTATAAATTTATTTTATTTACCACTATAATAGTATTTTGGTAATGATATTTATCAATTGTCATTTTTTATTTGTTTATAAGTTGTTTTTACATTGCTTACAAAGTGAACATTTTATGTTTGTTTATTTTTTGTCTCTCAAGATTACAAAAAACATTTTTCTTGCCATTGTTTTCTCATTTTTATCTATTTTCTTCTCATAGTTTTCATAACTTCTTACACTTTATGTATAATTAATTGTCAAATTAAAAAAGTAAAAAAAAAATTCAAAAAATAAGAGATGGGACGTCCCTGTCCTATCCCAGTTATATCCTATCCCAATTAGGACGGGACGCTATTGGGATGAGACGGGACACGAGATGGAAAACGGGCATAAACGCCCTTGGTAATTAGTTAGAAAGAGCAAAAACCAAAATAAATATACAAATGCTAAATGATCCCTAACCAAATCCCTTATGTCATCTGCCCACATCCCAATTATTTCATCATTATTGGCTAAAAAATAGGGGAGCACTCCATTATGTTCAATTTTCATTTTTATTATTTAATTCGTAGATTTTAAAAATTTTACAATATCATTATGCATAATAATGTTCTCTAAAATTTGACTGCTAAGGTTTGATAGTCTTTGTGTGCTAATTTTTTTTTTAATGAAACGGTAAATTTTATATATGAATTTAATTTTATCTTTTCTATAACATTAAACTTGAAGCAAGCAGTCAAATTAATGCAAAAAGCTGTTTCTTAAACATAAAAAATAAAATTTATTAAATTAATGTAAAATTTTCATTATAAATTATGCTTGTTAAAATATGTTATGAAAAATAATTTTTATTTTGATTTTGATTAAAATCATGCAAAATAATTTATTATTACTTGTTTTGCAAAATTTTATAATATCATTGTCTGGCTATATATTTTCATCATGACATTTTCACTCATCTTATATATTTGATTATTTTTCCAGTCCCTTGGGTCCATTATGTATTTTTGTCGAGTGAACCATTTACATGCTCCCATTTTGTTATTTTTACACAAGCACCTAACCCCGTTAAGCCACCGTTACCCACTGAAATTTCTTCTTCTCCGTTCAATGTTGTAGCCTAACGAATTTTTCACTTCCAAGAACACCTCTCGACAGTGTAGCTCTTCTTCACTATCAGATCGCCCCCATCCCTGTTCTCCCTCGCATTATTTGCCAACTTACTTCCTTCTAGACAAGTTGCGATCTCAAGAAACTCTTGGCTATTGGTGACGAATGATTCTCCTTCCATAACGCCACCTCTGAGAAATCTGGCATAGACTGGGCAAGAACAGAGTACTCTCAAGAGAAGAGGGTTGTTGGAGCCGGAGTAATGGGGTCAAAAGCGTGTAAAGAAAGATTGAAAATTGGAGGATTAAAAAATCTTTTATATTTCCTGTGCCTATCAGTTACCATATCTGTGATGAATATTATTAATTTGTATTAACTGTATCCACTGGGTTCTCTAATTTTCTCTCATTAAGACGGTGTCATACAATTATCTGGTCCAGGGAGGCGGGAAACAATATGGGATGGATAGAGTGTTTTCAGTGGAGGAAATTTCTGAACAATTTTGGTTGTCGTCGATACCCACAATAAAGGAAGAATCCTCCTCTGGGATGAATCGCAATTCTTTCTGAGTGGCCTTTCCAATGATTTCTCTAAGAAGCTTTTGTGGCTTCCAATGCCTCTCACCCTTCTCCTTCCTCCGATCCTCACAAAAATGATGCCATACATTTCCAAGAATGTTGCTGACTACTCTAGAGTGGTTTTCTTTTTTTTTTTTTTGGGTGGCAAAGTACAGCTCAAGAGTGGGTTGACCCGACAGAGAAGAAGCAATTTAAATGGGTAACGGTGGTTTAAGTGGCGATGTGTATAAATAATCTATATGCCAGCAAGTGATTGGCTTACTGGACCTTAGTTTAGTCCTTTTTAGAAATCACATAAACTATTTTTCAAAAGTAATTAAATATATAATTTTTTTGACTGTATCATATTTAATAGGATGATCGTGAACTATTCTGAGGTGAGAGAGAGAGAGAGACAAGGTTCTTCGGTGGCCCAAAAAACACTTTTTATTTTTGTTAAAATGTTGGATCTGTTATAAATAAAAAAGAAATAAAAAAATCATGTAGAGAAAAAGAGGATCAACGAGAGAAAGTATTTTTTATTATATTCAAGAGTTACTAAATACATGATATATGGCCTCTATTTATAGGCACATGTTTACATCTTTGATAGAATCTACAGATTACATGATAATAGAAGATAATTATAGGATATAAAGATAATAGGGGATATTGGAGATTATAAGAGATATAGGAGATAATGGGAGATATATAGATACCCCCACAAGGATATTATTATATTCATAACACTCCCTCTTGAATGTTCAGTATATATAAATGTGCCTCATTGAAAAACTTCAACTAGGAAAAACCCTATGGGAGAAAAACCTAGCAAAAGAAAAAGAGTACATCATTCATTGATACACTATGCAATGCTGCCTCATTAAAAACCTTGCTAGGAAAACCTAGTGGGCCAAAATCATAGTCAATGAAAAAAGAGTATAGCATGTATCAACTCTCCCTCTTAGCAACATTAGTTGATATCTTCAAACTTGTAAAATTTAATATAACGAACAAGCCTTTCAAATATTATAGTGAGATAAAAACGTCAAATATTAGTTTTATAATCTTATGACAATCATGAGACAAATAGTCCTTTTATGGTTTATACACATGTAAATCATATGGTGATCTCTCGATATGGTGATCAAACAAGAATACTTTATCTATATAGCTAGTAAAATTAGTCTTGGGTGCCTTCAGATAAAATAATATGACCTTCACCGCACCCTTAAAGTAACAAAGAATGTTTTTAACTTCATTCCAACATCTTTATGTTGATAAAGAACTATACTATGCTAATTAGCAAATGATATATTAGGTTTTGTCTGGCTACATAGATATATAAGTGCTTTAGTGGCACTAAGATATAATACTTTTGGACCAAGTGTTTATTTATCACCTTCTGGAGGTCTAAATTGATCTTTAGTCCATATCTAAAGATTTTATAACTATTAAAACACAAAATAGATGTGATTTATCCACATAATGGATGTGACTTATTTATATTTATTCTTCACAAAGCTTTCATTTCAAATTCTTTCTTTAAGTAATTCGCAGCTTTTAAAAACTCATCAAGATTTTTTATGCTATCACCATAAATAGTACTGATAACAAATTTATTTTGAATCTTTTTACAAATAGACAAGTTGGAATATGTTTATATAATTCCTTCAGTC